CTCTGTAATTCAGGCTGACCTTGAATTTACTGTGTAGCCCAGGCAGGCCTTGAATTAACGGTGATCCTCCTGCCTTGGCCTACTGAATTCTACTGAGTGGGATTGCAAGCGTGGGCCACTATGCCTGCTCATAAATACTATTTTGAGACAGAATCTCCTTACATTGCCCAAGCTGGTCTCAAATTTATGATCCTCCTGCCTCACCTTTTGGAATAGCTAGGTTATTGTTGTCAGTCATGAAGCCCTACTATTGATTTTTATATATGTTAGTTTACTTAGCTATTACGTCTAACAGGCAGAGTGCTTTTTTCCCATATCATAGATGAGAAAACAGATGAAGAGAAGTTAAGTGACTTACTTGCCATCACACATTAAATGATAGAGCTAAGCTTTGGGTACAGACAGTCGGGCTCTCCATTTTTCTTTTTTTGTATGTGTGTGTGTGCATGCACGTGCGCGCGCACATGGTCTTTTTGAGACAGTTTCACTATGTAGTTCAGGCTGTCCTTGAACTCACTTTGTAGCACAGGCTGACCTTGAATTTGCAATGATCCTCCTGCCTCAGTCTCCGGAGTGCGTGTACTACCATGCCAGCTGCCTTTCTCATTTTTAACCCCTACATTATAGTCCTTTTAAGAGGCAAAATTTTTCTGTCTCTGCAAAAAGATTATTGATAACTCACATCTTTTTTAACGTTTAGGTGTATATTGGCTGAGGATTTAGCTCAGCAGCCCAAGTGCCTGCCTGACAAGCGTGAGGTTGTGAGTTCAATCCTCAGTACAAACAAAAACAAAAACAAAAACTTGCAACATTTATGCATATATCACCAATATTTATACCTTTTTAAGCTAACTATAGGTATCAAACTAGAGATATTCTTTTTCATGTAATTCATTATAGATGAATGTTTATTGATAATGAATAACTGTTTAATGTTTATTGATAATGAACAACTGACAGTTTAAGGTTTAATAAATTTGAGTTTGTGTATTATAAGGCAGTAATTAATCTTGTTTGCATTTCATAAATCTGTTCTATGAATTCTATTTTGCAAATTTGTATCAATTATTGCATTATACCTTTAGCTGTCCTGGCTAAATCATTTTGTCTCCCTTGATGTCTTATAAAAAAGAAATAAGAAGGAAAGATATAAATACCAGTGTTTTTCCTCGTTGGTTGGGGATTGATTCCAGTACCTTCACACTGAGTTACATCCTGTACCTTTTTTTTTTTTTTTTTTTGCCCTGGTTGGGTTCAAACTTGTAGCCCTCCTGCCTCAGTCTTCTAGGTGGTGGGGTCACAGGCATGCACCACCATTCCTGCTTAGCTTTACACTAGCTTTTGTACTTGAAATTCTGCTGCAGAATTTGGTGAGCTTGTCTAGAGCACAAGCAAAACCCAAGAATGTGGTTTGACTTTTGAGATATTCACTCTTTTCCTAAGTCCATTTGTATGACTTTTGGGAAGAGTCTGTCAGAAAGGAAGAGAGAACATTGGTTGTTTGTTTTGATTCTTCTGACACATGAAAGGGAGAGGCAGAAGAGAATGACATGCAAAGAAAGAGCAGGACAGGCAAGTGTAAGGACGGGCCACACAAGACAGGAGGAAGTTGCATTGACATGAATAATGTTTTGGGTTATGGTGATAGGTGGGAGCTTTGGAATCTGACCCATCACATCTATTTGTTTTTTTTTGTTTTTTTTTTTGTCTTTTTCCTTTTTTTCGGTACCAGGATCGAACTCACGACTGCCTGCTTGCAAGGCAGGCGCTTATGCCGCTGAGCTAAATCCCCAGCCCCATCTATTTGTTTTTTTGAAGGACAGTGCTAGCTAGGGGAGAGAAGGGAAGAGCTAGTAGAGTTGTCTTTCCTTAGATGGCCATATGCACTTTAAGTTTGAGTTGTCTCGAGATCAGTCATCCCCCCTCCCCCCAATGCCAGGAGAGCTGAACTACATTCCCAGCCTTTTATAAGTTTTAAAAAATTTTCCAGTATGGTCTCCAACTTGAGATCCCTTGCCTCAGCCTCCTCAGTAGCAATAATTACAGGTTAGTGCTGTCACACCCAGCTTGAGTTATATTTTCTTTTTCTCAGAAGAAAAAATTTATACAATGTGACAATGTTGATAATGACTTTTGAACTTTAAAATTATAATTAAAGTATACTGGTAATGTAGCTCTGTGGTAGAGCCTTGGGTTTTATTGGACCCAAGAAAACGGAAATACTAAAACTATAATGTAATTTTCTTAAAATCTGTTAGTAAGGGAGCTTGTTGTTCCATATTGTTTTCTTTAGGTGAGCAAAAGAGACTCTGTTTTAGCTGTCTATTGGATGTATCATGGTTGTCAAACTACTATTTGCCACCTTTATATCAAATTCAATTTTAAGTTACTTGTCCTAACCCAGATTTTATTAATTCCTGGTACTAGTAAGTTTATTTACGTATATATTGCAGGTATGTATGTGGCACCAGGGTACTGAATCTAGAGCTCTTGTGCACTGAGCCTCCAACCCTGTCTTTTTACATTTATTTTAAGACAGGGTTGCTAAGTTGCACAGGCTGGGCCCAAACCCTTGAGCTTCCTTCCTTAGCCTCTCAGAGTGCTAATATTACAGGCACGTACCATCATGCTAAGTTAGTAAATTTATTTAAAAAGGACAGTTTATTAGATGGAATCAAGAATTAGTGAGTACTTTCCTGTTTTCAGTGAATTAATTTTGTGTGATCTGTAAATTTGGAAATTTTCTGATCTGTAAAAAAAACTCAGTATGGTTGAATTTGAGGCTCACTGTGGACTTACATGAAGGTTAATATATATTGAATTATACATATGTAAATTATATGTTTACCAATTTTAAAATATTTACTGGTTTTAATTTACCAAAAATAGTTATTTTTCCTATTTTAATAAAAGGTAAAATAATACTGTAATAGTGTGTTTTGTCTTTTTTCTGTTTTGGTCCTTTTGAGACAGTTTCACTATGCAGTTCAGGCTGGTCTTGAACTCGAAGTGATTCTCCTACCTCAGCCTCTTAGGTGCTGGAATTACAGGCGTGTGCCGCCATGCTCAGCCTTCTAGTGTGCTTTTAAAATAACACTAGTCTATAACTGTGGCTCTCCTTCTGATTTGACTGTTGCCAGTATTTTTATGCTGGGTAGATTTTTCCACCTGTTCAGTTTATTTACCTGTGGATGGCGTTGTATCCAGTTGACTTCCAACTTGGCGCTTTAACTGAGTTATAGCAGTTTTAATATGCTTGATGTTGGTCAGGGCAATGGAAAAGAAAGAAAATAAGTTCCTTCAATAACTCAATGTTAGTCATTGATATTTTATTTTTTTGTACCAGGGATTGAACTCATGGCCTCGTACTTACAGGGCAAGCGCTTATGCCGCTGAGCTAAATCCCTCGCCTGTAATTGATATTTTAAAAAAAATTTTTGTGGCACTTGGGTTTGCTTATGATTTGGAATGTTTTCATAGGGTACATTAAGGAATTAGGAATTAGCTGCCCATGAATAGAGCGAAAAGATGGGAAAGATAATTTGAATAGGTTTATTGAATCTTAGTATTCAAGTGCCACATACTGAATTATTTGAAGAATTACCAGTGTTCTTTCAGCATTTATTCAAGTGGTACGTTATAGTGCTCCTTAATTGTGGAATATTAACACTGAAAGACAGTTCAGTGTTAGAGATCAAAGACCGTGTCCTTCTGCCATACCCAGAATATGTCTACATACAGCAAGTCTAGTGCTAGATTTGTGGTATAGGGAATATTCTGATAGTACATGGTAGGAATATTTACTGGTTCATTGGGAAAGAGAGTGATGTGTTTGGTTTACAAAGTAGGTGGGATTTGAGTAAATGAGAGAAAAGCATATTAGCTTAGATAATGATAGTAATTAGAGCAAGGTATGATATGGGGCTACTTTTGCAAGAGTTTATGAGCGGAAGTATCATTAATCAGACTGCAAATATTGGTTGGATCAGATTATGGATTGGATGAAATTAGAATGGAGCTAGGCATGGTGGTATAGATCTATAATTCACTACTCAGGAGGCTGAGACAGGAAGATCACAAGTTTGAGGCAGTCTAGGGGTTGTATCTCAAAATAAAACATTTTTTTAAAAAGCTGGGAGTGTAGGTCAGTGGTAGAGTGTTTTGAGTGTCATATCTAGTACCAAGGGAAGGAGAAAAGAAATCCTAAAATTTAGAATGGGGAATAGGTTTGTGTAAAGATTTTTACACACTGCTTAAGTTTGGTTTTATTTCTCATCCAGACGATAGTACTTGGATTAGGACAGGTTAAATGTACTGAATGAGGCAGGTATAATTGTGAGAATGATCATTTGGACTTGGGCTGTTAATGATCACAGAGTTCTCTTTAGATAAGATTCTTCTGGATATAAAAGAAGGATGCAAGTACGGTATAGTTTTATTTTGATGTAGTTTATTACTTGTGTGTGAATCTTGAATTGGCTAGGTTTGTGATCCTTTTAAATAAATGATAAATCTGGATTTAGTTTTTGCATTCTAAAGAATGCTGATCACATGGTTTTATTTTGTTTATGATATTGGGCATCAAATCTGGGGCCCTCTAACCCTTTCTATTTTTCAAGATAGCATCTTGCCGCCTTGCCCAGGCAACCCTCCACCTTGTAATACTCCTGTCTGAACCTCCTGAATAGCTGGGATTCTGTGCTTGTGCCACCACACCTGCCTTGGTTTTTCTTTAAAAAAAAAAAAAAACCAAAAAAAACGAGGTCTCATGTTGCGTAGGCTACACCCAAGCTCCTGCACTCAAGCAATCCTCCTGCCTTATCTTCTGAGTTGGGGGAGCACTGGCTGTTTGCGCCTGTGCCTGGTTCAGTTTTGTATTTTCTGTTTTGAAGTGAATAATATTCATGCCACTTTTTTTTTTGTTTTATAGACTTTTTGTTTTGTGGTGGATTCATTTCTCCTTGCAAAGATCTGACTAATGCTGTTAATTTTACTTTTAGTTTGACCTTGGTTGAAGAAAAATTAGCCTATATGTACTGCTTTAACCATTGGAAGAATGACAGATGACAAAGATGTGCTTCGAGATGTGTGGTTTGGACGAATTCCAACTTGCTTTACTTTGTATCAGGATGAGATAACTGAAAGAGAAGCAGAACCATACTATGTAAGTATGTTGATAATGGCAAAAATGTCCATTTTTATAAATAAAGGCTCTTACCTAACGTTTTATATACCATTGCCGTGGAACCTCAGTTAGCGAACTCAGTTCTTTCTGCAGTTCTGCTCGCAAACCAAATTGGATGAGAACTAAAGCAAATTTCCCCATAGGATCACCATTGAACCAAATCATTGAATTTTATTTGGTTCTCATCCAACTGTGTTTGTGATAAGAATCATGACAAAAATCAAGCTTTTAAACTGAGGTACCACCGTAGTCTATACTTTGGTAAAAAATTAAAAAAGACAAGCAATTATAATGAAATAAAAATGACCTGTAGTCTTAGTAGAGTAGAAAATCACTATTGACATAATATGATGCCTCCTTGACTTTCTTTTTCTTATACATATGTGGAGTCAGGCTGCAGATGCAGCTCATCAGTAGAGTACATGCTTAGCCGTAGGTGGTAGGCCCTAGGTTCAATCTCCATCACCTATATATTTATATTTATTGTATGTGTGTGTAAGTATGCTAATAGAATCTTAAGTTATTAAAAGCTATGTGCTGTCTTTGAATGGGAAGCTATTTTAAAATAATAGGTTCAGATTGGATTGTTTATTTATGTAATTCCAAGCAAATATTCAATATTTCTGTAGTTAGTGAATTTATGAACACATCTGCACACATTCACATGTTCACTGAGTTAATTTATTGTTTTATACAAGCTAAAATATGCATATTTAACAATATATTGCCATTATAGATATAGCAAAACTGTAGAAAGTGTGCTTAGTTTTCCTGCACACACACATACTGTGGATGCTGCACATAGACTTACACATTTTAGCTAATGGATTATGTTTTAAAAACAAGTTTCAAATGTGTATCTTATGATCTTAGTGTGCTTTTTTCCTCCAAATGCCTGTGCAATTTACAGTTATGTATGTCGATCAGACATGACAAGGTCCTGCCTGTTTCATGAGTGGCCCCCAGTAGACAGTCATTCTCGGTTGCTCTTCTCCTTTTTCCTGTTTTTGGCTTAAGTGCACATACTGTTGTGTACGGGGGAAGAAGGTGGAGAAAAGGAAATACATGTACGTGATGGACTGTTGCTTCTGTTTCACTTGAGTAAAGCTTGCCCTTTACTTTCTCCTTCATCCAAGAGGCAGCATTGCTCCATAGTCTACGCTAGCTATGGCAAGTCAGACTGCTGAAGAAAGGATATAGCAATTGTGTTTTGTTTTTTTGGTCTATATCCTTATCATCTGTCATAGATGTGTAAGTGGCAGGTACTCAGTGCATGGAAACAAGTGTCCCCAGACTCATGTTGGGATTCTGTTTGAAATCATCTCTCTGGATTTTCTATTATAGAAATGATAATTGTAGGGAGGATGGAGATTTTTGTTGCTGGTACTGAAGTTATATACATATGAATAATTTTAACCTTGAAAATCTCAGTAAATTTATCTTCAGAAAAACTTTCTCATTAATAAAATGTGGTTATAGTTTTCTTTCAAACTAATTTTCGTTAGATATGTGGGTTTTTTTGTTGTTACTCTTTTCTAATATGTTGGAATACTTTTTATATTTTGTTTCCAAACAAGAATTGCTGACTTACTTGAAACTTTCAATTTGTACTGATTTTTTTATACACTTTTGTAGAGTACTGTATATGTTTGTAATAGGCCAAAATGTCAACATCTGAAAAATACATGTTTACGTTTAAGTCAGAATGTGATGTTTGACACATTTCTATACTTAAAAGTTCCACATGAAAATTCAGGATTTTTCTTTGTATGTATGTCTGTTTACATATGAAAAGACTTATGAGAACTAGAGTGTAAGTCATTTTCTCGCTGTTTGTGATGCAATTGAAAATGGCAAAAATGTTTGGCTAAGTATAAAAGAAAGGATTATTTTGTCTTTTAACTAACTTTTTTCTTAAATTCTTCCTAACATTTTACCTGAAAACATTCTTATGAAGTATGGTCAAGAAATACAGTGCAGTCCTCTAGCCTCAGCCTCCCAGAGTGCTGATATTACAAGCTTACACTGTCATGCCCGGCTGAGCCTGTATTGTAATTGAAAATTACTGGATGGAATAAAACACGAGATAAAGAAATAATATTATAAATACCTTTCCAGAAATATATGCATACCACTGTACAAAACCTGTATTCATTTTAGGAGTACTGTATTCCTGTCATAAATTGAGGAATAATAGATTGCATGGGTAGCAACAGTTTTTGCAAACATGGTTAATTCTTTCCATATTAAAAGAATTTAAAGAACATTGAAGATTTGCTAAGTGAAATAAACCAGGCACAAAAGTACAAGTATTGTATGGTTCCACTTTGATGAAGTACAAATACTTAGAGTAGGTGAATTCATAGACAGGAAATGGAATGGAGCTGGAGGACTGGGGAGTTAATTTATTCATTTTGTGTTTGTACTGGATATTGAACTCAAGGTTTTTCACTGAGCTGTGTCCCTGGTCTTTTTGTATTTTAATTTAATTTTTTTGGTACTGGGGAATGAACTCATGACCTTGCGCTTGCCTGGCAGGTGCTTATGCCACTGAGCCCTCTTTTTTTATTTTGAGACAGGGTCTCATTAGGCTTGGCTTGGCCTCTCTATCTTCCTGCTTCTGCTCCCAGGATGCTGGAGTTACAGGCATGTGCTGCTGCATCTGGCTTGGAAAATTATTTAATGGGTACCAAGTTTCTCTTGGGGATGATGAAAAAGTTTCGGGGATGGAGAGTGGTGATAGTTGTACAGCAGTGTGAATATAATTTCTGCCACTGAATTATGCACTTGAAAATGGTTATGCTACATGTACTTTAATATATTTCAGACACGTATGCATGTGTATATTTCTTTAGATAGGATCTTATTGTGTAGCTCAGACTGGCTTTGACTTGATCCTTCTGCTTTAGCCTTCCAAGTGCTACCATTATAGGCATATACTACCATACCTATCTTATTTTACCACATTTGAAAAAAAGAATTTTAAGCCAATGAAGTATACCTAAGAAAAACAGTGAATAATATAGTCTAGAGACAATAGCAAAATGATGTCATTTCACTTTTATTTTCATTTTTAGTTATGTAGTTATTTTCTGGGTAAAATTTTCCTGGTAAATAAATACACTGTATTTGCAGTACAGTCCTTCTTAAACTTTAAATTTATTTTTTAGTATTAACTGTGGATATTTCTGTTATTGATTACTGCCACTGGTTAATTTCAAACAAAAGATTCAAACTACATTTCATTGTGGGTTCTGCCTTAATGGGTATTTTTTTTAAAATTATCACTGTGGTTCTTTGCCATGATTAATCTTTGGCATAAAATTATTCAGAATATAATATGTGTTTTCTGTCAAGCAAACAACTATTTTGGGCAGTGGGAATGCAACATTGAACAGACAAAAATCCCTGACTCAGTGGTTATATATATATTTATATATATATAAATTTATTTAATTATATATATATATATTTTGTGTGTGTGTGGGGGGGGGGGTGGAACAATCTCATTATGTAGTTGAGGCTGGTTTTCAACTCACTGTGTAGCCCAGGCTGGCCTGGATCTTGCAACAATCCTCCTCCTTCAGCCTCCCGAGTGCTGGAATTATAGGTGTGCATCATCCTGCACCTGAATGTTCTAATAATATTCATTCTGTATTGCTAAGTAAATTTCACTTTGCAGTTATCATTTGTGAATTCTTTAGCAACTTTGCCTGAGTGTTAGTTGTAGAGTATAACACTTTGCAAAATCAGGAGCTAATATCCGTCCTCTTTATCTTTCTTTTTACTATCTGCATTGGTCATTTTAAATTGAAGTTCTGTATTTACTAATACGGACCTTATTAACCTAATATGTTTATTTTTAGAAAAGTTAATTGTGCAGTTTTGATTTCTTATAGACTTACGTGTTCATCTGTGTTGATTCTTTTTTGGTGTGATACTGGGGTTTGAACCCAGGGCCTTCACAGTGAGATACATCTCCAGTCTTTATTGTTACTATTTTAAAATTTTGAGAGTTTTGCTAGGTTCCAAGACTATTTCCAACTTGCAGTTCTCCTGCCTGTGCCCCTAAGAGTATTAGAATTATAAATGTGTACCACCATACCTGACTCTGTTTTGTCATTTCTGAAAGACTCCAATGACTCTTTTCCTGCCATTTGTATTGTAACATGATTTTGTGAAGTTACTAAGATCTCCATAAAAGAGAGATGATAATTCTACCTATTTAAAAATTTGTGCTTTTTGTTACACATATTAGTTTCATTCCCTTTCTTCACTAGTAAGCAAGACTTCTGCAGCAAAAGAGGAAAAACATCAAATTTCCCCTGTTTTGTGTTCATGTGATTTCATAAGTCATAACCAGTTTTGAAAAACTGTAGTTTTCTCTGGATCTTGTTACTGAGAAAAATACAGGCTTCTTCATAGTATTACAGGTGACGCTTTGTCCAGCTCAACATTCTTTCATAGACTTCCAAACATGGTGGGCCAGTTATGAGATTCTGATTGATGATAAACCAAGGTGTATATTAGAACTGAATTACTTATCTTCTCTGAAAAGCTTAATCAACTCGAGTGAATCATTTTAATTTTTAAGGTAAATTTGACAGAACTGTTAAGTATCCTAAACAGTATGACATCTAATTACAGTTTCATGTGAAGTGTCACAGAAAGAGTATAAATTTGCATCGGTGATCTTAGGCATATATACAATAAGCTACATTAAAAATGACCACATAGAACTGTGGGAGTAATAAAACCCAAAATGTGTAATTGTCATTGTACAAAAGAAAGGAAAAGAAAGTTCTCTAAAAGATATAACTGCATATATATTTAAGTGTATAAGATAGATAACCATATTACTGAGTTTTGTTGGATCATTGAATAAAACTGTTTGCAGTCTCATTGTTTGAAAGTCCCCTCTATATGCTTTAATTTTGTAACTTCAACAACTATTTCTAAGATGACAATATGTAATTAACTAGTGATTTCCTGTTTATTTTTTCTGAAATTCTGTATAACTTGTACCCTTTTTCTGTTTTTTTTTTCTTTTTTCTCCTTAAATAAAATTTAAAAAAAAATGACCACATAAGAAACATTCAAACATCTTAACAGTTAGCCTTTGGTTTTCTATATAAAAGCATTTCATTTTGTGTGGGATACTCAAAATAATGTAAAGAACGTGGCTGTTTTTCCTTAAGATTAAAAAGCCTATTTAGTATTTCTTTTGGAAGAAAAACGAGTAAATAAATACGGTTTTACAAATTTTCATTTCAGTTGCTTTTGCCAAGAGTAAGTTATTTGACGTTGGTAACTGACAAAGTGAAAAAGCACTTTCAGAAGGTTATGAGACAAGAAGACATTAGTGAGATGTGGTTTGAATATGAAGGCACACCACTGAAATGGTGAGTGAACTTTTCTGCTTTATTAAACATTAAGTGTATGCATAGCTTTAAGAAGGTATAGTCCCGGAAATAGTCATAAAAAGGTTCTATAAATAAAATTCACTTCAGAGGTAAAGTGAAGTAAACCATTATTAGTCTGTTGTGTTGAAAATATTTCTGCCTTCTATTTGGCTGTATGGATGACTCGACAGATTTACTTATTTTCAGCAAAGATTTCTTGTTTTTTTTTTTTTTTTTTTTGGTTTCTGAGATAAGATTTCACTATGCAGTTCAGGCTGGCCTTAGGCTCACCTTGTAACCCAGGCTGGTCTCGAACTTGCAGCAATCTTTCTGCTTCAGCCTCTCAAGTGCTGGGATTACAGGCATGCACCACCATAACTGGCTGATCCAGGAATAGATTTTTTATATTTTAAAACGTTTGATTATATGATTTTTTCACTTATATTTAAACTTTATATAAACAGATCATATGTGACAACTTCTAATTTTTGTTTTTATCTCCAGAATATTTATAGCAGAACTTTACATTCATATGATTAAAATGACATTTAAATTAATTGTTACTTTAGTTGACCACTGATACTTGGTTTAGAGCATTTAAAATACATTGATTTTGACCATTTCTTGGACATCAGGTTAGAGAGAGCATCTAGGGGAGCTGAGTTGGAGGGGAGTGGGAAGACTCGTTGGGAGCCTGTGGTTTTGAATCTCCACAATATCTAGCCCTGGATCTCGAGGTGCATCGTGATTCCTGCAGATTGGACTGTATTTATATGGGGAATCCTGGCAACAGTAGCAACAAGACTGAGCTGTAATGGGCTTTTGGCTATTATAGACCACTCCAAAGTGTGTGGCTTGCTGGAAACCCTCCTGGCCTTGCTTTTTGTTGGTTTTGAGGCTCCCTGAGATGCAACGGATGCTGTGCAGTGGTGATGAAGTCGAAATTGTGGCCCTCCTTCTTGTGGTCCTTGTCCTCGCCATCATAGCTGTAGGAGCCCTCCACTTCACGGCAGATCTCCATGGAGAAGTTTCTGTTACAGCCAGAGCAGATCTCTTTGTAGAGACCAGAGAGAAGAGAAATCACTGTCTAGGGAGAGAAATTACAAGCTGTCTCAGTCTTTCTGTAGGTTTTGCAGTCAAATGAAAGGAAACAGAAGACCAATTTGCAAGAGAACTGGTATACAGGAATTAACTTCATTTGACCAGAGTATGTACATAAAATTCAAGTTTTGTTTGAGACTTCATAAGCTGACTTTGTGTCTGAGAACAGTGACACACAGCAATGTAATTCTCTATGTTTGAGATGGGTCATTTGAGGCATATAACACAAAGAATTGTCACTTTACAATGTTACTGTAAGCAAATTAAATTTGCTTTGAACTTAGGCTTGCACAGACTGAAAATAAACCCCTAAATTATGCCTAACACTTAAATAGATAGAGAGGTTGATTTTTTTTTCTTTCATTTTTGTGGTACTTGGGAATTGAACCCAAGGCTTCAGGCATATTTAGGCAAATGCTCTCCTACAGAGCTATGTCCTTTGTCCTTTTTATTTTACTTTAAGACATCGTCTCAATAAGTTGCCCCAGCTGACCTTGAACTAGTGAGCCTCTTCCTCAGCCTCTGAGTAGGCAATCATAGGTTTGCACCACTATTTGTGGCCTAATTTCCTCTTAATGTGAAAAATAATTTTGATATTATATCATTTTTAAGAAAGATTTTGAAAACAAATCCTAAATTTGGGCTTATCTACATATACATGATTTTTTTGTCCTTTATTACTGGAAGTTTTATTCAGTGTGTGTCCAAAAATATTTAATGAAATGAGAGAAATTATACTGAGAAGGGTATGAAAAATGTAACTTATCTGTACTTGATGAGATCTTAAAAGTAGACTTGATATTGGCTTAAAAATGTACAGATAAGTATTTTATTTTGAGTTATGGTTAAGTCTCATCTGTTGAGGTGGTTTTGGGAAGGAATAATAAATTGTCTTATAACATTGTTAAGTGAATATGTAACAGTGAACTTCATGATCATATATGAGACTCATTGTAGCTCTTGGATACTCATAGACCTCCGGTAGTAAAGGTAAAGCAGTATTCTGTTTCTTTTTGTTTCAGAAGAATTGGAGGTTTTAGAACGGAAAGGTGGTTTTAAAAATGTATAAAAGGAACAATGATCAGGAGAGTAGAGGGAAAGGCAGGAAGGGGAAGGAAGGATTGTGGGTGAGTAGCAGTAGTCTCTTTCTGTATCTATAGTACTTGACAGTTCTATCTGTATTATAGTTAGATTTTTAAATTGTTATACTTTATATGTATTATAGATAATAAGAATTTGTGTGACTAACAGTGTTTTTTTCATTTTATCATTCCAAAGCAGTATTTCTTAACAGAGTCATTGTTGACAGTTTTTAATTGGATGAGTCTTTGTTGCGATAGAGGCTGTGCTTTACACTGCAGGGTGTTTAACTGCTGCCCTTGTCTCTGCCCACAAGTTACCTGTACTCTTCCTGTGTTATTATACAAATTGTTGCCAGATTTTCCAAGGCAGGGCAAAAACTGTCCCAATTGAGAAACTTTGGAAGTATTGGGAAACTTTAGTTTATCTGAAAAACAAGTGATTACTAAGTCAGTGTCTTTATGATCTATACACAAAGGTTTTGAATTTGTAATTTTTTTTTTTTTTTTGAGCAGGGTGTTGCTATGTAGTTGAGACTGATCTTGAACTCACAAAGTAGCTAAGGCTGGCCTTGAACGTGCAGTGAACCTCCTGTCTCAACATCCCAAATGCTGGGATTGCAGGTGTGTGCTATCCCGTGCCTGGCCTTGAATTTGTAATTTAAAGGTGGAGGTGCAGGCTTGTGGGAATAAAAGTCCTGGCTGAAATAATTCTACTGAAAATTTTTATCAAACATTTAAAGAGGAATTAACACCATTTTTGTTGTCTTTTCTAGAAAATTCAAGAGGACAGAATACTTCCCAAATAATTTTTAAGGTCATTATTATACTAGTACCAAGTTAGTATAAGTAAAATTAAAAAACGATGTCTCATGAATGTGATATACAAAAATCTGTAATAAGATATTGATAAATTGAGTTCAGTAGTGAATAAAATTAACTACATACTATGACCTAATAGGTTTTATTAAAGGTATTTAAGACCTCAGGAATCGTGAATGTAGGAGCCTACTTGCCGTGGTGTGCACCTAGAATCCAGCTATTTAGGAGGTGAAAGCAATAGGATGGCAAATTTGAGGCCAGCCCGCACAACCTAATAAGACTGTTGTAAAGTAAAAAATTTAAAAAGGACCTGGGTATGTATAGCTCAATGGTAGTACACTGAATCTCTACCACTGTAAAACAAAAACATAAAAAGAATTATAGCAAAAAGATCAAAAGCGTCCCTTATCCAAACATCTGAAATGCTCCAATGTCTGTTATTTTTTGAAAATCAACATAAGGGGAAAGTCTGTCCTGGCCTTGTATGGTGGTAGCAGTAGAAATGCAGGTGCAGTGGGGCTGGACTGTCACTTAGTGGCGGAGCTTGGGCTTAGTGTGCAAGATGGATTCCATCCCAGCACCACACATACCCATAAGGCAGCTCGCTAAAAACAGTAGATAGAGTTACTCCCATGCTAAGGTGAGGTGTGAATGAAATGTAAATGAACTTTGTGTTGGACTTGGATCCCACCTCCAAGATATTTCCTAATGTATAATGCAAATATTCTAAAATTCACTCTGAAACACTTTGGGTCTCAGGCTTTTCAGAAAAAGGGTGTTTGGCCTATAATTCATATGCAGCCTATAGTTGATTCATTAAAAACTGTTGACCAAATTCAACACATAGTAAGATTTCTTGTGCCAGGGATTGTAGCTCAGCAACACAGTGCCTGTCTGACAAGTGTGAAGCCCTGAGTTCAATTCTCGGTACCCACAACTAAAATCAAAATAGAAATTCTCCGCAAATATACTCTTGCATTCCTCCTTTCCTTCTCTTATTTGTAATTTATAACTTAAGTACCAACTCATTCTTGATTCCTTTAGCCAAAAACGACCATTTCTACTTTTTTGTCACCTCAATACTGTGCACACTTCCTGTGTATTTGTCATATTGCTACTGTGTAGCGTAGTGGTTAAAGATGCTAACTCTGGAGCCAGGAACCAAGATTTCAGACCACAGTTTCATCCTTTAATAGCTGTGTAACCTTGGTCCGTTTATTTGACCCTTTTTTTTAAAATCAGTTTTTCTGTCAGTAAAACATGATAGTGGCTTGTAGTTCCATCAGTTCCTTTTAAGGATTAAATGAGTTAATAAGAATGTTGATCTAACTCAAAAGTAGAATTTCTTACTTTAGGCTTATTTGGTCTGTCAGCAGAGGGTGCTCTTAACATATTTTAAGGGGTAAAGTTTGTTGTTACAAAATACAAGTGTTCATAATTGGTATTTACTCATAATTGTTTTGAAAGAACTGTTCTTTGATATTTCTCAAAGGTACTTTGTTAATAATCCCTTATAATGGTTTAGATTTTAAACATTCAGGGAAAATTGTAGAAAAAGTTTCCCTTTTTGTGAACTATAATACAAGTGTCCCTAATGAGAAATTTTCCCTTATGTAAATTATTTTTAGGCCGTATTGTGAAAGGAGGAGGCAAAACTGCTTTTTTGAATTGAAAGTAAAATGTAGACGTGGCTGTGAAATACTCTGCAACTGTTTGTGCCACATACAGAGTAAGACACATTGATTGTAATCTTTAAAGTGAATTTGCAATTCATTCAATAAAACATAATCCTGTTTCCCATAATTCACTAATGCAGTAACATTTATTTTAGTGAAATGGACTAAAGCAATGGTTCTAGTATTGGAATTATCTTTTTAATGCTGATTTTAGAAGACCAGCTATCTATCTGAAAGCAGGTCTTTAGAACAAATTCTCTTCTGTGTAAAAGCATATTCATTATTGCAAATTGGTATCTATGTATATATTAGCAATCTGAAT